AGGGCAGGGGTTCCCTTCCCGTCCGATCCCCCCCCGATATCGTCCACCGTGTGACCATCCTCGTCGTTGGCCCCCGCCCTGACGGCTCGCGCGCTCTTATGACTTTGATTATCGCGACATTTTTCATCATCATTTGACCGTCCACCATCGCAGCCGCCGCCCCCCCCCTCCGCATTGCCCCGCCCTCCTGGCTGCCCTGCCCTACCCGCAGCACCGCGACCTCCACCATACATTTTGCGCGGCTCTCCCGCGCCAAAGCCTATATCGATAAGCTGCCGTCTCAATTCTTTTCGCAAGGCTTCAATCTGCTCCAAGGTGGCGATCGACAAAAAATTTTCCGTGCAGTAGTCTTTGCGCACACGATAAGGCTCATTCCGAAGCTCTGCCCACCCATTGTATGCTTCCAAAGCCGCAATGTGGTCTGACAGGGCCGATCCGTATTTGGCATGTGCCCTGTCCGCTTCTTGCTGCATACCAAATGGGTTCGAAAACGGACTTTTGTAGCTCAAGCAGGCTGCTATTGTCAAAATGGGCTCTAGACATCCCAAAATGGAGCCTATGATCAGCATTTTCCCGATACGCGCGTCGCACGGTAGGTTTGCCAAGTGGAAACCTAAAGGCATCAGGTAATAAGACACTTCCTTGGTGTCCAAATCTTTCTGCTTCCGTAATGCGTCGATTTCTCGGAGATTTTTGACGGCAGTCGAAATCGCCTCAGGAGGTGGGGGTTCGATGGCTCGTGCCAGAAAGTCGGCGGGACTGCCCAATTCCAGCGCCAAGATGGTCAGCGACAGCTCTTCCAAGGGGGTGCGCAGCATCTCTGGGAGAGTATACTTGGGCATTTGCGCCTCCATGAAGCTTTTACTGTACAGCCGAAAGCACGTTCCTTCCCGCACACGCCCCGCCCGGCCGGCTCGCTGGGAGGCAGCGGCTTGGGAGGTCCAAACACTCACAAGGGAGCTCATGTGTGTTTCTGCGTCGTACCGCATCTCCTTCACACGTCCGCTGTCGATCACACTGGAGATATCGTCGATGGTGATGGAGGTTTCCGCAATGTTGGTGGCAACCACGATCTGCGTGGACAAATGGGTAGGGAGACAGGCCCACAGTGAGAAAACTTCACTCTCCTCAAAACTTTGCACGGGGGGGAAGCAAAGAAGACACAGAAGGCAGCATTCCTGGACAAAAATCAGGACAATACCTTGGTCACACCCTTGGGCATCCGCCGGAAGACTGCTCGCTGCGCGTCGGAGGGGAGGGAGGAGTGCAGGGGGTAGGCCTGGACACGTTTGGGGTTCCCCAGGACCGCATGGGCCGCCATCAGCTTGCAAAGCTCGTTGATCTCCTGGAAGCCCGAGAAAAAGACCAAAACGGCACCGCCCACTTCGTTGTCGTCTGCCTCTCGGATCGTGACGAGGAGGGTCAGCAATTTGACGATGAGCTGGTAGTCGATCGGGTCCTCGGCTTTAGGAGAGATCAGCGGGGGACCTGCGACGCCATTCCCATTCTCATTTCCGATTCCTTTCAAACTCCCATTGCTCAATTGTCTGTGCTCCTTTCCAAGGCCGCGCCCGCCTCCATTCCCTCTCCCCCCCAGGCCTCTGCCACGTCCGCCCCCCCGACCTCCTCCCCCTCGTCCGTTGCCTCCCACACCGCCCTGGCTCATGCCAGGCACGGACTTGACCGAGGCCAGCTTGGCTTCGATATCCTCCAGGAAGACGTGCCGGACGGGAAACGTGCGTCCAGGCACGTGGACGGCCGGGCAGTTCCCAAAGTACTCCTGAAAGAGGTCTGCCTGCAGTGTAGCGCTCATCAGGATCAGCTTCAGTCCCTTCCGCCGCTCCAGCAGCTCTTGCATGATGATGAGAAGGAAGTCCGAATGGATGTCGCGCTAGATAGAGTACGTGGAGAGGAGAGAAAGGTAGCCGAGTCGTGAATGGCTTGCTCTGTCGCGTCGCTCGGCCCCTCCGAGCGTTCTTGGCAGCCGCCCCCACTGCGACCTGACAACTCCCCCTCCCCACCCTACCTCGTGCACTTCGTCAATCACCACGTGAGAGACGCCTTGTAGGTCGGGGTCCTCTTGCAGGCGCCGGAGGAGCAAGCCTGTGGTCACGAAGGTCAAGGCGGTGGAATCCGACACCCGTGCCTCCAGGCGAATCGAGTAGCCCACGTCCCGGCCCACCTCCACGCACCGCTCTGCCGCCACTCGCTCGCAAAGCGAGATGGCGCTGATGCGTCGAGGCTGGGTGACGAGAATATTGACCTGGCTACCCCGACCCCCTTCGATGTAATGGTCGAGCAAGAACTGCGGCACCTGCGTCGACTTCCCGCTGCCAGTAGCGCCGCTCAGCACTATCACCGTGTTCTCCTCCACCAACCGCACCACCTCCTCCCGCATTGACCAGATCGGCAGCCTTTCGCGCGCCCAGAGCATCTCTCTGTACCCTCTCGTCTCCATGACACGTTCCAGACGCTGCTTCAGCATGCGAGACAGGGCCTCGCTCTCGGCCGGGCTGCGCTCGTGCCGCTTCTTTCCCCCGGCTGCCCGCCTGATGGCTCGCACACGATACCCCTCCTTGATGTCTTCCAGCTTCTGCTGGTCTGCCGCAGCTGCCGCAGCCTTGCTTTGCTCCATTTCTTCCCTCCGCGCCGCCCTCTCGGCGGGCGTCAGAGGCAGTACCAGGCCCCCACCGCCGGGAAGGGGCACCCCGGCCGCCTCCGGGACCTTGGTGGTCACACATATCACCGTGTCCTGCTCCACGGCCATGGTGTCCGAGAGATACAGCCCCGTCTCCAGGACAAAGGCTGCCTTGGGTCTTTTGATGAAGAGGGTGTCACGGGCCGCCTCGAAAAGCGTGGTCAGGTTGGGGACGCGGCCTACCACCACCCGCTTCTGAGTGGTCTCTGGGTGGTGCCATGCGCATATGATTACTTGCACCCTGGACGACCGGCCCCGGGTGGCAAGGCGTTGCGCCTCTTTTTGTCGCACGGCCGCGGACTTCTTCGTCGCCGCGTTTACGAGATTATTCTCCAGGAAGACCCGCTTCTCCTCTTTGAGGAGCAGATTCAGGAGCTCGGCGCCGCCCATCCCGTCGTCCCCGTCCCCATCCGTCAAATGCAGCTGCTTTAAAAGCTCCAGCATCAACCGCTTATTCTCCGCGCCGATCACCACATGGTTCTTCTTCAGTCCCGCCCCGTCCCTGCCGCCACCCGCTCCGCCGCCTCCACCAGGATTCCTCCCACTGGCCCCGCCCCCGCCTCCGCTACTGCTCCCTCCGCGGCCTCTATCACTACTCACACGGC